TAATAAAAACACTTACTTTGCGGGCAGCTGAGCTGACTTATTGAATTCACGATTTCTATTTAGTTTCTATTTTGTTTGTTTTTTTTTTTTGCAATCAATTTTGACGGCCGCTACTTGGATTGACATTTGTCGCAAGCATAAATAGAAGCTATGGAAAATTAATGTCAGCAACAGGAAAGCCAGAGTTCATATATAAACATATGAAGTTAAGAGATTATGACCAAATCACTTCAAAAGTGATTTTGATCCTTGCAAAAGAACTTTCCAATATACGAGTATTACTAATAAAGAACTTCAAAGAAAACAAATTTGTACATACTGGATGTTATACATTCTATAAAAAGAGCATCATTATAGATAATTGAAAACATCTATATTTTAGATATAAATATTCGTTTCGTTTTATCCATACAACCACTAAAAAAGTTTGAATGTTGACCTCGTACATTATAGGAAGATATGTATACCATACTAGATATATTGAAGTCATATTTCAATATATATATATTATACATATAAGATAAATATATTCAAATTGATGATAAATACTACTAATAAGATTTCAAACATACCTACTTTTCTTTAATTACTAAAAGTCTAATGCAAAATGTAATGGAAAGAAAAATAACATTTTCAAAGAGAAAATTTATACAAGTATACACCCAATTTTCGATTAACAAATTGTAAAAATTTAAGAGAGTGTTTTTAAACTCAATTTTCTTCAAATTTGTACGCAAAACACAATCCTGAATATGGATTTCTAAGAGATTATTAATTATTCACACTTATTAACAACAACAATATTAACCAATTGGTATGTTCAGTACTTTCAGCCAACAGGTGAAGCTGTAGTTATTAATTTGAATTAATATATTAAAATATTTAAACTGTTCTTATACACAATGTTCATAGAAATTAATAATATTATATTAATATGTGTATTAATATGTATTAAAAAAATATACAATTAATTTTAAATACAAAATATTGTTTAAAAATATTTACAAAAATAAATTTGATTTAAAAAACCAATAAATATTTATTATATGTTAAAAAAATTATTATTGACTTACCCTGTATTGCAGCATAAATAAACCTCAAAGCCTCCAACATGTTGCTTTAATATATGTGGAGGCTGTTGGACACAATTATTTTAGTCAATTTTTTATTTAGTCCTTTTTAGTTTTTTAACACAAAAACACTTTAGCAAAAATATAGAAATGCACATATTACTTATATTTAGTTAAATATTTCTAATTAAATTCGTTTTATAAAATAAAATAATATTTTCAAAAACCGTTACTAGAAATAAAGTAAAAATTTTTTTAATCACTTAAATTTACATTCCACATTTTGAAATGGCTTCCACATTTTTAACTTTGAAAGTACCACGTTTTTTAAGTTTTTTTTGTAATTTATTTAAAACTTAATATATCTAATTTATATCACTGTTAAAAGTTTTTATTTTAATGTTACTTCTTATTTATGCATTTAGATTAGAATATAAATCCATTTATTTACATTAATTTTGTAAATAAATTATTTTTCCTTTAGCAATCGTGCCAATCGATAACCAATCGTTTTCACGAACTTCGTTTTACTGACTTCGGGCAGCTGCGGTTAAATTCAATCACGCATTCCACTTTATTAGTTTTTTTCATCAAAATCAGATCGCTGTTTATGTTTAACCTTTTTTACCCTTCCAAATGGAACTAAATTGAAATTTTGTTCCAATTTCATTTTACTCCTGCCATACATTCAAGAAGAAGCATAGTAATGCATTGCATTTTGAATTCGTATCAGTTTGTATTAATCATTTAAAATGTAATTTTATTCTAATTAATTTTGGTAGTTTATTTATTTATTATTATTTTTTTATGCAGTTTATAAATAAAATATTTTTAATATTTTAATATTTAATTAAAAATAAATATTGCAATTATGAATAAAGTGAATATTGCAATTATTACTAAAACAGATGGTGAAAAGGTGTTAAATGATTTAAATACATTGCGGTGTTCCTGACCGCAATGAAGCGACCATAGAGGATGAAAACCAAGCAGCTAATGCAATCTTTTGTGGTCTAAAAAGAACCCTATGTTCAAAAGTCCTATCTGTCCTCGAATCATGTCTGAATCTAATCTAATCTAAAAACCAATGAGTATATAATTTTCCAGAAGTATTTAAAGATTTCAAATACTATTTTGGAATATTTATAGAAAACTATGAGAAAATTTCGTATGCGATTTAATATATCCTTTGCATTATATCCTTTGTATAATATAAGATTTTCCGATTTTTGATGTCTTTCTGTAAACACTGAATGGTTTAGTTTGTGCTATATCCTATAATGTTTGAAGAATAAATGCTATTAAGTAAGTTAAATAATTCACTCGCGGCACCCGACCGAAAGTGTTGATTTGGTATCACAAGTTTCATGGGCCACAGTTTCGACTGTCCTGACTAATTGAGGTTGGCTCCTATAATAGGAATATCGTGGATGCTGTGGTTAAAACGCTAATCAACATAGTTTTTGTTTGAGTTTCTTATGTTTGGGCACATATTATATATATGTGGTTATTTTTGGTAAATAAAAAAAAATTTTTTTTTGATTGAAATAAAATCATTTATTCTACTTTATTGATTTATTAATATTTAATAAAAAAATAAAAAAGAAAACTTTATAATAATTATATATATGCATATATATATATATGTATATATTTATATATGTATATACGTGTAACGTAACTTAAATGATAAAATTATAATTAACAATTTCTTTTTCAATAAAATTTTCTTTATACAATTTTAAATAATATTTTAATATTAATATTTTTAATATTTTAAAATAAATTTTTATTTCAAGTATTTAAATAAATTTTAAACTTTTGATTTTCTCAACAATGACCAAGAAAAAGTTTTGAATCATTGCATCTGTCAATTTTATTTTCTTACTTATAATTCATAATTTGTGGTACATTACGAATGTATAATAAGTGTTTTATATATATAAAAATAAATTATTTATGGATAAAAAATTAAAATTATTTTATATATATGTTTTAATATAGTTTTAACGTTAAGGATAATTAATTAAAAATATCAATAAAGTATTTGTTCTCAAAAACGGCAAGAATTTTTAATTGAATTAAAATTATTATAAAATTAACTTGAAATTAATTTATTTTATTTAATATTAAATATGTATTCAATATATATTTTTTTCATAATTGCAGATATTAAAAGAATTAATTTTTTAAAAACTTTTTTCTGTAATATTTATTTAGCATTTTTTGTAAAATGCATTATATAGTATTAGTGAAAATCAATTAATGTATTTAATAGTTTATAAAATTTTGCGATATTCTATTTTTGTTCATTTTTTAATATTTTTCATATAACTCATTATATGTTTACTTGTATATACAAAAGAATTTGGAATGTTTGGAATACAACATATAAAGCAAAGTAATTTAATATTTAATGCTTCATAATTTTTTTTCTTTTATGGATCACAATTTTTTTTCAGCAATTTTTTAACAACATTAAAAGTTGATAATTATTTTAAAATATTTTTTAGTTTAGTTTTAATTTTTTTATTTACTTATTTTGTTTTGTGTTAAACAACAAATGCACATCTATTTATTTTTTATTTATATGTTTGTATTTTTTTATATTTTAATTTTATTTTATAATCTAAACTATTAAAAAATATTGCATTTCAAATAATTTTAAGTTAAACTTTGTAAAGCAAAATAAGTTTTAAAAAGAGTTTTCTTAATTACTTTATGTTAATATTATTTTAAAAATATTTCTTTTAAAACATTTAATTTGTTTTCGTTTTATATTTTTGTTGTAAAGTATTTACTTATTCTTTTTTTATTTTTAATAAAAGTGTTTTCTATATCATTTATTTAATATTTTTAAACAATTGAAATATTTTTTTGAGATCTTAATTATAAATATTTTTGTTTATATATTTTGTTCGAAAGAGCAAAAAATTAATTAATTTTTTTTTATTTTGAAATAATGAAATAAAAATTCAATAAAATATTATTATTAAAAAATATTAAATATTTTAATAATAGAATGACGCTGAATTATTTCAACGTTATTAAAAAAAGTTTATAAATGTATAAGAAAAAAAAATACGATTATTTTACTGGGGGAAGAGTATTATTTTAGTACGTACTTTATTTTAATTTTAATTATACTACATTACAAAATAAATTATTATTCTATATGACAAAAAATATGTATTTCATTTAAAAAAGATATTAAAAAAATTATTTTAAATACATAAAATATATAAAAATAAAATGAAATCATAGAATCTAAGAAATCTCACTTGGATTGATTAAAAGAATAATAATTTTTTTGTGAGTATTTTGGGAATTTATTTTCAAATAATATTATTATTAATAAAATAAAATTTCTTTTCAACTAAATTATTAGATTTTATAAATATTTGTTGTAGTGCATATTTAAGATAGAAATCTTGCATGTTTAAAAAAAAATTTGCATTTTTATTTTGGATTACATATTGTTTATTTAATTCTAATATTATTCATTATTTTAACTTATTAATATTCACATTTACAAATATTGAGCACTAAAATTAAATAACTAAATTTATATTATATTCAATCAAACATGTCATTTTATAAATATTCAATTTAATAGCAAAAATTAACACATATAATATATTATAATTTTTATTATTGTTGAATTGTGTATATATGCTTTGAAAAAAATATATCAATCTTAAATTTAAAAAATTTTATTTTTCTGTTTCTTTTTAAATTAAACTTAAAGAATCTCTCTGAACTATTCGCATATAAAACTATATAAAAAATATATAAAAATTTCATTTGTGTCCACTTGTTGTGCATTGTTGTTGTACTTCTCTATAAGTTGTTAAAATTGTATCTCATATATATATAAATTATTTAGATTAAGTACGCTGGCGATTATGTTTAAGACAACAATTCATCCTATCAATGGTTGGGAAGCTCTGCTAATGTAATATCATATAATTCATCTTCAATCTGCTGCACTTCCAATAAGAAAATATCTTCGTTGCAGTAGTAAGAAATCATATCATCATCAATTTTCGCAGTAATCCTGTAAATAAAAATTAAATAATGAATATAATAAATATATATGTAAATGAAAAGATTACAAGACTAAATAATAAATAAAATAAATATTATATAAAAATTATATAAAAAGTCTATACACGTATATAAATAAAAGTAGAAGTAAAAAAAAAATAACTATCTTTACTAACTTGACTAGGATTTGTGAATTAAAGATACTTTGATAACCTTTGATTGCGATTTTGAAATTGGTTTTGTGAAAAATAAAAGTTAACTTTATTCCAAATAATATATCTACGGCCAGTAATGGAGAAATTTAAACAACAGAACCTAACTTTGTATCATCTACTCAAAGACTTTAGAAACCAAATTTCAGTTATTCCCGTATTATTTTGCAAAAGAAAAGTTCGAATTTAGTATTTCTTAAAATATATTGTGGAATTAAATATACTCATTTTACAAATATGAGTGTTAAATAAAGAGATCCATAAGTGCCGAAGACCTTAAATTGCTTTAACTTATCGAAACCATCATAAGTTCTCTATATTGCTAATAACATTGTGATATTCGGTATATCGCATCCATAAAAAAAGATTTTTTAATTATGAACAAAGTTTCTGAAAAGCTTACTTTCATTATAATGAAGAGAAAAGGAAATATCTATGTGTGGGAAAACTCACTGCTAAAGTATTTACTTTGTTGAAGTAGTACTTCATAGAACTTTAAATATGTTATATCTTCCATATCCTTGCATTTAATTATTACCGCAGATGGGAGTTAAGGGATTATCACAATTTGTATAAAATACTGAACAACGACGAATGTCTATGGATTATAGACATAATCCATTGAGTCTATAGACTCTAGTCGATGCATTTACCATAACTCAAAACAATAATCCATGGAAATACAAGAGTCTATCGATTCTAGTCGATACATTTACCGTGACCGTTATATAATTTTTACAAGCAATTCCCCAGCATAGAAAATATTAGATCCGCATCCTAACGAAACCACGAAGCAATATGCTAGAACCCGGAAAGACAGATTTGGGGTGATTCATAGGTAGTTGCGCTATGTGAAAGCAGTGGGTTCAGCCGAGGCTATTCTATTAACAAAACAATGACAAAAACATATGAATATAAGTCGCAATTTGTTTTTTCGATTCCGTATAAGTTATTTATTCAACTTAGGGATTTTGCTT